AGTTGGACTCATTCAACTGTGACTACCCACTCTCATTTAAACTGTACAGTTACACTTCAGGGTTATTTAAAAATAGGTCTGTAATTTACAGTAACATGTATAATCATATCACATGACTGTCTTTTTGGTAGACATTTGTTCTCACCTGTAGAGCGTTGGACACCGTACTGTTCAATCTGTCCAGTAGGCTGGTCAGATTTTCAAACTTCCATAGGGTGTCAAAAGCATCCGCCAATCGTTTTGCACTTTCGCTCAAATGGGTCACGTTGCCAAGTGTAACTTCTATGTCATCTGCAGTTTTCCTAATTTTAGTCACTTCCTCATCTTGATCAGGAGCCTGGCTTTCTATTTGCCGCAGTTGGTTCAAATAGTTCCTTACCTCTTCCACATTGACAATAGGCCTCCTCAGAAGGTCAATAGTCGTCTGCGTGAAGTACAATGGAAGAAGTACAAAAGTTGACAGTGTTAGGAAGATGAGTATTGTTGGTAATAACGGAATGAAATATAGGAATATTAGTGGGACACCTTTATCTCCCGCATGTGGACAAGCAATTTATTTATTCTCACAGTGTAAGCCTAGATCTCGAGGTTTCACCTCGTCAGAGCCATTCAGTTTGGAATAACAATGTCACAACGAGGCTTTAGGCTCTGATGCATGTGCTAGTGAAACAACCGAGCTGACGGCAGCCCCACGTACCCAAGACTGAAGTCTCGTATCTGAGCTTGTAGCCATAGGCGTTGGTGAGTAATAGATCCGTTGCCTGACCAGTGTAACAAAAGGCCGTTTCTATGGTAACCTGTCTTTCAAGATGTCTATTGGAAACTACCACATGCGTGGTTCCCAGATATTGAAGGTAATCAGATTGAAGTTAGCATTCAGTATAAGACCGACTTTGTTCAGATCATAAAACACTGACCAGTCACAATGTTGGCAAATTCGTAAAGGCCATATGACCACAACCAATCAATTCTGGTGATATGTTAATCTACTGAACGTGGTCACTCAAGTCTCCTTATCCCTGAATGTGATTGACATACTGCCAGTGACGTGAGGCATAAAACGTTCGAGATGTGATTCGGAACTACGATGGTATCCTGTGAGTTAACTGGAAGCAAGCTCAAGTCCAAGTGTTCAGTGGTTCCATATAAACATTCCCATTGGTGATCAAATCGAAAGACATTTGTTAAAGCATGCCACCATAAATGGAAATAACAACGACAATAGTGATCAATTTAATTTGTCTTTTGTTTGTACTCTACTGAGGACCAGAGTGATCAGAATACATAAATCACTATATACATTCAATTCATGCATGTTTAACAATCGTGAATGAACGACATCCAATATCACAACAGAAGCACTGGTGTCTCAGTGAACACAACCGAACTAATTGCAAAGAATAATTAATTAGAAGAATCAAGCATACAGCGTAGGTTGCTTACTGCTAATCACTCATGTTTCGTAATACTAATAAGGACGTACCTTGTTGAGAAGTCATAACAAATGCGAAATTCGACAGGGGCTTGCGGTACAGTCTAAGAGAATGTAAAGACTGTAGTCACTTTTAAGCGATGATCAGGTTATATAATACGAATGGTTCATCAGGAAAGGAAACAATTAATTTATACCACAGTTTTCTGACATGTGGTCGTGAAATATCATCCTATGGAAGATATGGTTTTTCAATTTCCCTTAATACTGTTCACCAGCTGGTGAATCGTTGCATCCTCAGTTCTGTCTCTGTCATTCTAGAGGCAGAACTAGGATAAGGTAGTTTCCAAACTGAATCCGCACCGACTATGTTCCTGCTTGTTCACACTGGTAGCAACACAAGTAGTTGTGGTCAGCTCGTTTCAGTAAGTCGGGTAGCGTATGATATACGAAACGCACAGTCCCAGCTATCGATCAGCCACGCGGGAGTTGTGTAGGAGCTTACGCCATTGGGTATTAGTGGTGCCAGTTATATTTTTCAAATAACGGGCGGTCTTCGAATAATCCGTTTTCCTACGAAACCATGTTATATGTAGTGTGTCCATCCGACCAGACACCATAACCTCAGTATCGAACACATTTATTGTCGTTTCGCCGTATGGTCGGCGCTGGGAACCACCTCCTCTTGATGCCGACTGAACGATCACGGTGCAAACCTTGACTAGCTGAGAGTTCAGCAACTTCAGATAGAACCAACCCCTCTAATTGGTTTTAATGAACTGGTTACATTGGATCAAAACATGGAAATTACCGCCAGCACCTCTGTGCAGACATCTATCAGCACACGGGATAAGCGAACGGAATATGGCCAGAGTAAGTAAGAACCAAATTAATTGCAAGATGGTTCAATCTCAGTCAGACTGACCGCGAACCGGTGATGTCATTTACGAAACAGAGAATATTTTGAGGTTCTTTTAAAATGTGTTTCATGGATGATTAACTCCCGGTGAAGCAGACATAACAATCTCGGTGCAAATATTGACAGGTTGAGAGTTCAGTGACCTCACTTGTGACCAACCGCTCTATCTGGTTTCGGTGTCTTCGTTACGATCATTTGTGAAGGAAATTACAGTACTACTTCCTTCCAGCCCTGAAGTCTTCGATACCCATCTGCCTTACCAGTTCCTGAGAGAATGCTTACACAATCCTGATGAAGACATGATTATGAATATTTTTGCGGTCCCTTCAGTTCATATACTGCATGATTTACAGCGTGAACCGAACTGAACTGAAAATCAATACCATCAATACCTCCACAATGACATCTCACAGTAAACAGGAAAGTAGTAGAATGGGGTGTTCATTATAGATCGTAGCCAGATATCTAAATCTAACGCTGATCTGTCGGTGCACCTTTGTATGCATCAGCCCAAGGATGGAGTGAAGCAGCCTAGCGCAACCTATGACTACACCTCTTGTGAACGTGAATTTCTAACTAAGATTGATCTCAGCTTACACAAAAGACATGGATACCCTTTTGAATGAATGTGAGGAAAACGTAGACACACGAAAGCCATTGGATCTGATTAGTTTCAACCGAGGTCGACTTCCATCTTCCGAATTGCCGACAAGAAAACCTGGTCGTGTTCAGCAGGATATGAATTTCGTCAACGGCATCTGTCGTAGTTCCACGGTTCATTTTCTCAAAAGAATCCGGAAGCGTTTCTACACACTGAAGTAACAAAAAATCTCTGCTCCTACTGCCAACGCAAACAGATATGATGCTGAACTTTGAGTCTCATACAACAGAACACAGATTGATTCAACCGTATGATCCAGGCTACGCTGGCTCGAATCGAGCATAACACCCGAGACTCCACAGACTCTGACGAACTGTTAGCAAACACTTACAACCTTCATGCAGGCATTTTTACCATGATGCAGTCAAAATCGCTAACTGACATACTGTTGATTGCCTGTAATATCCAGTCGTACTAACGTAATGCTATGCTCCAACCCATACGTGTGTATAGTCGGTTTATCGGAAGCGACTTTGGTTCTCATCTTAACGGCTGAAAACTCTTGTTTCATATACTGTATCTCCTGAAATCTAGATGCTGACCAACTTGGTTGAGGATTAACCAGAAAGTTTTCCCATTGATACTTACCTGGACTCATATCTACGACTGATATGCAATGTCTTACAGTGAAATTCACTGTAAAAGCGTGCTTGTCAGATAGTTGATTACAAGCGATTGGTAAAATTAGAATCCCCGAAAGAGCAGCGACAGTTGCATCCTACCCGGGACTTGACACTATTAGAAAGCT